ACTGAAGGCTGCAGTCCTTGACCCTGCGCAGCAAGTGCATGAGGTCCTCCTCAGTTTCAGCAAGCAGGGTTGTGTCATCTGCATAACGCAGATTGATAATAGATCTTCCACCAATCCTGATGCCACAATTCTCCTCATAGAGTAGAGAAGAGAATATGACTCACAAATATTCTCTCCTTGGTGCCTTCGGTCATTAATCTTCTGATTGCGCAACCTGATTTGGACCGCCCTCTGAAAGTTGTTGCCTTTTTTATGATTTTCCCTAATTTTGCAATCTGTCGTGTAAGGCAATGTCCTTGAGTTCAAACTATGCCCTAGTGGTCAGAAGTTGGCTTTCTATTTTATCACTATTATTTGAAGGGGAGAAGCAGAGAGAAATTCGTTATGAGTCTACTGAAAGAGGGCATCTCCTATCTGCAAGAGCTTTAGAGATCTGAATACTCATTTCTTGACTGTCAAACGGATTCTGACTCATGAGAGCCTCGCACGTTACGCAGTAGAAGAGAGTCACAGGGTTCTCTTGGACATAATATTCATAAAAGTAAGGCATCCAAGCCTTTCTCTGTTTTAGAAAAAAAATATTTCTTTTTTAGGCCTTTCGTGAGCAGTACTGTGAATGGATTCAAACCTCCAACATTTAGGTTAATATTTGAGCGGAAGATGGCTATGCCGACCAGGGACTTTCTGTGTGCGGTGTAAAGAACATACAGAAGATAAGGAAGTAAGTATTATTTTGACATCACAAAATTCAAACATGTGCGTTTTGTCTTACTAAATTAAACGTGGGCTTGTATGTGAAATGAGATAGAAGATCCCCTTTTCACAGAGTTCAAACTACCAAACTTTTGATTTGTAATCCAGTACTGACCATATGCACTACCTGGGGATTCCTGAAAGATGTTGTTGTTATGTGCCGTTGAGTCGCCTGCCACTCATAGCGACCCTCTGTACAACAGCCCTAAACCCTGCTCTATCCTACGCTAATCTCACTGTCTCTGACACACATACCACCATGACCCCAGTCACTGAATCAGTCCATCTCATCGAGGGTCTTCCTCTCCTGCTCTGTCCCTCCACCCTCCCAAACATGACATCCCTCTCCAAGGACTGGTCCCGTCTTGCAACATGTTCAAAGTATGTCAGAAGAAACTTCAGAATCTTGGCCCCCAAGGAGCAACCTGGCTTCACCCTTTCCAGGATAAACTTGTTTATTCTCCTGGCAGTCCATATTACATTCGGTATTCTTCTCCAGCACCACACCTAAAAGGCATCAACTCTCTTTCTATCATGCCTACTCATTGTCCAGCTCTCTGATGCATAGCATGTAATTGCAAAGACCATGGCTTGAATCAGGAGCACCTTAGTCTCCACACTGGCATAGTTGTTCTTTAGTACAACTAGAGAGGTCTCTGACAGCAGACTTTCCCATCACAACATGTCTTTTAATTTCCTGACTGCTGATACCAAGAGTGTTGATTGTAGAGCCAAGCAAACTGAAGCTGTGAACAGTCTCAGCCTCTTCACCATCTATCATGATGCTGTTAATTGGCCCGGGGGTGGGAATCTTTGTTTTCTTCATGTTGAGCTTCAATCCATAGTGAAATCTGCAGTCCTTGACCTTCTGACTAGTTGAACCAGCCTTCATTTACCTATTGATCGTCTTCCTCTCACTACTTGTCTTACACGGTACACACAGATTCTCTACACGCTGGAGAGGTTCTGCTGCTGTTGTTATCTGCCAACAACTCATGGCGATTCCAAATACAGGAAAGCAATATACCGTCCCATCGTGCATGAGTCCAGTGACTGGATGAGGGTTAAACCTGTGTGATCCATTGAGTTGTCATCATTTGATTTCTGGAAATAGATATCCAGGTCTTTTCCCTACTCCATTAGCCAAGACACTCTCCTAAAGACACATCCTTTGTTCTTGTTGGTTCCTGTCAAGCTGCCTTCAGCTTATAACAATTAAGGCGGAGGTTGTGAGTCTGATGCAGGAGAGGGAAAGGTTCATGGTGGGTACAAGCCATAGGTGACTATATAGCACCTAACAGTTACGCTACAACCCCATGTGACGGACGAGTTCTAGTGATCTTTAAAAGCTATCATCTTGTCACGTCTTTATTTTGTTCTTGCCGTGTATCATTGAGTGAGAACTGACCTGTAGCTGGCCCTCAGTGGGTTTTCAAAAGCAGTTTACTACACAGTTTACTACACAGGAGCCGATGGCCCATCTTTCTCTTGTGGAGCAGCTAGTGGATTTGAACTGTGTGCCTTAGAAATGACAACACAACTTCTTACCAGTTCTATCCATTACCTTTGAGATACTTCTGTAATTCCTTAGCATGATTTACTGTTTCCACACGTAAGGTTGCTCAGCTCCTCTTTCAATTAAGCTGTCCCTGAATGCCATGAAACAATACCATGTCTTTTCAGATCCTTGGCAATGCTTCAGTGTCTTTCAATTCTAGCTTTTCACACATATAACTCCTCCTACTTCTCTGTTATTTCTTCATCTAAAACGTCCAGTTTCATTCTTACCACCACAAAATAGATGCACCTTTTTTTAATGCTGCTTCTTAACTAGTTCCTTTAACTAGTCCTGACATGATCACCAATGTCTATCCCAGGATTCTCTTTCTCATGTAAGAGGGACTTCTTCACTTCTGCTATGTTACACAGTCACGCTTCTTTAAGTAATAACTGCCTGTCTTAATCTTTCTCTCTCCAACTATAGAATCCAATAAAACAACAGTCACCAAACAGAGAAGTCACTCAATGAATAACTTCCTTCTGCAACTTCCCTCCTCATCAGATCCTGCCTCCTTACCTGACTTTGGGTAAGAAAGTACAATGGTATCTTCATCCTTCACCACAAATTCATCTCTGATAGATATAATGTCATCTCTATTGTATGTCTTCCCAGGAAAAGGGATACCTTCAATCATTAAAAAATTTGTATCCATCATAAAAAAAGAGTCGTTTCCAAGCTTGCTCTGCTCAGCACAATCTTCTTCACCTTATATTCTGTTTGCTGAGATTGAGAGAGGAATTCTTAGCAAAATTGATGTGAAGGAACAGAGAAATGAGTTCAGAAAATGGTCAGTTTCAGTGATCAAGATCCAAGTTATACACGTAGTAGCATCACTTCAGTTTAAATAATAATTAGCTAAGAGAGGACTTTCTAGGTCTCTGGGGTTGATTGTAGAGGTAATGAATAGCCAAGAAAGTGAATAAACAAGAAAGGCAGCAAGGAAATACTAATGATCAAATAGCTGTAGGCAGCTTCTGTGCTGTAAAATGATCAAGGGCCATGGGGGGAGCACCATATCTGACCTTTATCAACTTCACAGAGGGGAACTGCCCCCCTCCACAGCGTCAATAACACAAAACCAATTCCATGAGGTCAAACATACCTCCCCACCACCACTACTCCTGACACCAACTGTAAAAATAGCAAGGACCACGCGATAAGACCATATATGACCTTTACAAACTTCATAAAAATGAGTTTTTTCTTCACCTCTTGAAGGAGAAATTCAGGAGGAAAATTAGAAGAAAATTTTGGAGTACTTTTCCCACACTGTGAAGTAAACAGATTAAAAACTCAGAGGTAGAAGTGGGGAAAAAAAGGAGCCACCGGAAACATCCCATCCTCTGAAGCTCGGTATACTACATTACTTAAAGAATTACTTAAGAGCTCAGAGGTAAAAGTAAGAGAAAGGTCATTTTTTTGCAGTTGTATGTGCAAAAACACTGCTACTGGTTTAAATCAGTAAATAAAGCACAGTTAAATTTAAAAACTTGGCAGAATCTTGCATAAGATTTATGAAGAGCACATCAAAAAAGAGAAGAGACTCCTATTAATTTTTGGCCAGTAAGAGCTTTGAAAAGAATAGTAAAAATGCCTGTGCAGGCTTGTACTCATCATCCAAAAAATTTGCAAAGAAAGATGGCTGAATCTTTGCGTGAATCTGAATTAAGTGTTATTACATTAAAGCAGGTTAAATCTGAAGACAAGAAACAGACTTTGTCACCTTGAGAAAGAGCTTATCAAAAGGAAGATAGGATTTTTGTTTCGGTTTGGTCATTATGTGATTTGATCCCATTAACTTTAAAACCATTACAATCTGAAGAGGAGATGTCTGGAAAATTAGAAGAAAAAAACCTCTTCAGAAGAGAGTGATAGTGAATTTGCTGCAAAGGAAGATGAATTTCCTCTACTTCCATCTCCAGAGGAAATGAGCAATGTAATCCAAGATGATAATCCTTATGAGAAATTAAGTGAACAAGTTTTAGAACTTTCTAATGAAATAGACAAACTGGGTTCTTGTAATGAAATATATTGTTGTTGTTGTTGTTATGTGCCATTGAGTTGTTTGCGACTCATAGCGACCCTATGTACAACAGCCCTAAACCGTGCTCTATCCTGTGCCAATCGCATTGCCTCTGACACACCCATCCCAATTATCCCAGTCACTGAATCAATCCATCTCATTGTGGGTCTTCCTCTCCTGCGTTGTCCCTCCACTCTACCCAGCATGATGTCCCTGTTATTTAATGATACTCGCTGTTGGGAGTAACTACTTTTAAGAAGCCTTCAACAGCTATGGCTAGGTCCTTCCTTGTAACAGGCAAAGCAAGATGATTTATCTGATTGGAGAAAGAAGAGCTTCTGTATTTCCAGTAACAATTCAGGATATGCCTCCTGATCAAAATTTTCCCTAAGGGTATCAATTTTTTAAATTAATTTTAATGAAAGATTACAGAGAATTAGGATTTCCATTCATTCATTGTTGCACTTTCCCCCTGTCCACCCCTCCCCCATTCACTCTTTTCTTTGAAAAGTAAAAGAAAAATTCCGTCATTGTTATACAATCCCTCCCCCCAAGTCCACTCCACTGTGCAGCCTTCGTTCTGGACTCCTGTCATGACAATAATACCCAATCACAGATCCCTTTTAAACAGTTCTCTCCCTCATCTGTTTCAATGCAGTATACATAATTTATCCCTTGTTCCTCAGTCTCCCCCCAACCCCGATGTCAGTCCCGTTTTACAACAGTGGCACCATGCAGTATTTGTCCTTTTGTGACTGAGAGATTTCACTCAGCATAATGTCCTCCAGGGTCATCTGTTTTGTATAATATTTCATGAGGGTTTTTTTTCCATGCAGCGTAGTTTTCCATTGTGTGAATATACCCCAGCTTCTCTATCCATTCATTTGTTGATGGGCACTTAGGTTGTTTCCAACATAAGGGTATCAATTGTATCAACATCAATCATTATCTTATACAACTATTAAAGAGTAAAAGCAAGTTAGAGTTGTTCTGTTGAAATAATAACATCTTGACCTAGGTCTAGGTTTCCCATGAGCACAATTAAGTGTTTGGAATTCCCATTCTTCTCAATGTTTTTCATAATTCCTTGTGATCCACATAGTCAAATACTTTTGCATAGTCAATAAAACACAAGCAAACATCTTTCTAATATTCTCTGCTTTCAGACAAAATCCATCTGAGGTCAGCTGTGAATTTCTGGCAGGTCCCTGTTGATTTACTGTTACAACTGTTTTTAAAAAAAATCTTCAGCAAGGTTTTAGTTGCATGTATTGTTGCAGACAGAGGGTAAAGTATTTTTATTATTATTAACAATGAGACAAACAGCCTGGAATGAGATAGAGCAGAGAGCCTAAAACAGGGAGCCAGCAGTTCTCGACTGAAGACCCCAAGCCAAGCTTCTGTGTATTTATTGATAATCTGGGGAAGCAAATAATCAAAGGAATTCCTTGTAAATGAAGCTGAATTTTTCTCTATATGTCAACCTAATGCTCTAGCTCAGGAAGTCTTTCCCAGGAAGTAACACTCCCTCTGTAGGGGGCCCCTTGCTGTCTCCTGTCTGCAGGGAACCAACAGCTCATTTTCTGGAATCTGCCACAAGAGAAAGCCTAACTTATAAAGCTGTAATTCCTTCAATTCCTAAACAAGGGTTTTCATATAATATTTGGTATAAAGTTTGACTTCCCATAATGTTATATTAATGATATTGATGTATAGGGGCTGTAGCTGTGTGTTAAAATACCTCAATTAGTATTCTACCAATTCCTGGGGCTTTATTTTTAAACAATGCCTTCAGTACAGCTTGATTTTCTTCCTTCATTACTGTTTGATACATCTTCCTGAAATGTTCATTATCAACTAATTCTTGTTAAAGTGACTACGCGTATTACTTCATCTTCTTTCGATGATTCCTATGTTATTCAGGGTTACGCAAATAGAATCGTTCAGTATTGCGACATGAGGCTTGAACTTGTTTTCGGTTCTCTCAGCTTGAAAAATATCATCTGTATTCTTCCTTTTGGTTTTCTAACTCCTGCACTTTGCACCTTTTGTCACAATATTGTGCTTCATTTTCTCAAGCTCTCCTTCGAATCTTCTGTTCAGCCACCTTACTTCAGCACTTCTTCTCTTGATTTTGACTTCTTTACTTTCTAGTGCAAGTTCCAGAGTCTCTTCTGACACACATTTAAGTGTTTTCTTTCTTCTCTGTATTTTCAGTTGATCTTTTGTTTTCCTGATGGATGTTGTAGCAGATGTCATATCACAACTCTTCTGTCTTATTCAATCGTGCATCAGGTCTTTCCTTTTGACAGCTTTCAAAGTCATTTGGGATAGACTGAAATTTGTATTTTATTTCTTATGGAATTAAAACATTTCTAAAGGAAAATTCATCTTATATTAACTTACGTACAAAATTCCTATACACTGTGTTTCATTCACGTACTTGTGTTTCACACATTCCTTTGTCCACGTTGTGTTTCATACAATCATTCCTATACACTGTGTTTTATAAAATGAATCACCATTAATCTATGTCTACTATATACAAGGACTGTAGTCTTCAATAGGAATTGAAGTTCAATGTCAAGAAGACCAAGATTCTCACCACCAGGCCAATTGGCAGCACCATGATGGATGGAGAAGAGATTGAGGTTGTTAACAGTTACAGCTTGCTCAGCTCCACAATCAACACTCTTAGCACCAGCAGTCAGGAAATCAAAAGACGAATTGCACAGGGAAAATCTGCTGTCAGGAACCAATACAGAGTACAGAAACGCAATGACGTCAGTTTAAAGACTTAGGCGTGCCTAATCCAGGCCATGGCCTTTGGAATTACTTGCTATGCATCAGAGAGCTGGACAAAGACTAAGGATAAAAGAAGAAAAATCGATACCCTCAAATTATGGTGCTGGAGAAGGGTCTTGAACATTCCATGGACTGCCAAGAAAACAAATAGGTCTGTCCTGGAGAGGGTGAAACCAAGTTTCTCCTTGGAGGCTAGGATTTTGAAGCTCCGTCTCACATCCTCTGGGCACGTGGCCAGAAGAGGCCGGTCCTTGGAGAAGGACTTCATGCTCGCAAGGGTGGAGGGACAGTGTAGGAGAGGAAGACTCTGGATAAGATGAACTGATGCAGTCAGTGACTGGGGCGATGGGGGATGGTGTGTCAGAATTAGTGAGACTGATTCAGGACGGGGCAGGCTTCAGAGCTGCTGTATATAGGGGTTGCTATGGGTTGCGAGTGACTAGACGGCACATAACAACAACAACAACTAGTACCCTATCTTTTCAGGTCCCCATTGGATCTTTCCTAATTCTTTCACCAACTCCCCACCTTCATTCTTGTCGATTTTTAAACATTTTCTTCAGCTTCAATTTTAATTTACACATAAATAATTGGTGGTTTGCTCCATAGCCAACCCCTGACCTTGTTTCGAATGCTGATATTCATTGAGCTTCTCCGTCACTGCTCCACAGATGTAGTCAAGTGGATCTCTTTGTGGTCTATCAGACGAGGTCTACGTGGGTCGTCATGATTCATGGAGTTTTTAAAAGGCGTTTGCAATGAATAAACCATTGAGTTTACAAAATTCTGTCGTTTGATCTCCAGCCTGTTACTAAGGTCATATT